TCAGCTATTAATCCTACTTAGGACATTTATTCATGATGGGTCACTTTTTTCTTGCCTTTTTTAAATAAATGTTCTGTCTTTGGATTTTGGCAGTTTGACTATAATGTGTCTTGATGTGGTTCTCTTTGAGTTTATCCCGCTTGGTGTTTGTTGAACTCATTACTTATGTATATTTCATGAGACCTGGGAAGTGTTTTGTTACTTTTTCTTCAAATGTATTTCTACTCTTTCCTTTTCCTCTCGTCTTTGTAGGGACTCAATGATATGGATACTGGCATGTTTGATGGTATCCCACAGGTCCCGCAGGCTCTGTTCAGTTTTCATTTTATTTTCTCTGAACATTTTCAATGCATATTTAATCTTCAGGCTGGATACTCTCAATTGTCTTATCTTCAAGAATGCTGATTTTTCTCCCAACCTGCTCAAATGTGCTGTTGAACTAATTCTACCCCCCAGTGGATTTTTCATTTCAGTTATTTAAATTTTCAGCTAGCTGCAGAATTTCTACATGGTTCCTTCTTATAACTGCTTTCTTTATTGGTATTCTTATTTCTTCATATGTCATTTTTCTAATACCTGTTAGTTTTATTTCCTCTGGTTTCTTTTAGCTTATGGAACATTTTAAGACATTTGCAGTATATCTGATGAGTAATTCCATTGTCTGGGTTTCCTCAGGGATAGTTTCTGTGAAGTTTTGTTTGTTTTTATTTTTGTTTGTTTTGGTTTTGCTATTTATGGGCAGTACTTTCCTGTTTCTTTGTGTGTTTTATAATTTTTTGTTGTTGTTGAAATGGGTACTCTGAGTATTGTAATATGTTAACTCTTGAACTCTGACCTTCCTACTCAGGCAGTCCCAGAGGAGAAAATAGAGCAAATGGGGATAATGTAAGGTTTAAAAACATAATGGCTAACTATTGTGCAGTACTGACAAAAAATAGAAAGTATCAATCACATCCTAGAATCACTATGACCCCTGAGCATTTTAAAAACAAAACTACATTAAGCATGTCTTAGTAAAATGCTGAAAACCAAAGTCATAGGGAAAATCTTAACATATAACAAATGCAGATTATGAATTATTTTCTTGACGGTATGGAACACTGCACAAAATCGGATATTTGCTGGGCCATAAAGAAATTTTAACAAATTTCAGAAGCTCTAAATGATAGACTAGTTCTCTTTTCATAGTGAAATTAAGCTAGAAATACATTATTTTAAAAACTGGGAGACACTGATGTGTTTGGGAATTAAATAACATAGTCTTATAAAAATCCCTAGGTCACACGTAATAATAAAAGCTAGAAAACATTTTGAACTGAATGATAATAAAACGCTGCACATCAAATTTGTCGGAAGCAAAGAAAATATATAACCTTAAATGCATGCATTAAATAGATGGTTGAAATCAATTATTTAAATACCACCTCAGGAATTTAGAAAAAGAACATAAAAGAATATATGGATGGCAATCATAAAGATAAGAGCAGAAATTAATGTACCAGAATGCAAACTTCCAAAACAGAGGATTTAGAAAGTAAAAAATCTGTGCTGAAAGACCAATAAAATTGACAAAACCCTATAAGATTGATCAAGAAAAGAGGGAAAGAAGGGACAGGTATCAGAATGAAAAATAAGGATATCACTGGAGATCTTAAAAATGTAGGAAGGTTCTACTAAAACTTAATGACTAACATTAGAAATTTTAGATTACTTCAGCTATTTCCTAGAAAACATGATGTATTCAAACAAATACAAGAAGAAATGGAATATCTAATATCTGACTAGTGTTACGTCTGTTAAAGAAATTGAATCCATATTGTAAAACCTCCTTACAATAGTGATTTCTCTTGGAGGGGTAGTGTTTGGAAGGGCAAATGGATGTGAACTTCCTGGGAGCTGATAATTCTATTTTTTAAAATCTAGATGCTGGTTACACAGCAGTATCAAGTTTGTGAAAATTCAATGAGCTATTACATACCTGTGATATCAGCACATCTCAAGATCTATATTATTCTTCAATAGGGAGTTTAAAAACAAATTAAAATTTAAAACCTTCCCATAAATAAAAGCTCCAGGCCCTGATGCCTTTATCAGTGAGCTACCAAAATTTAAATACAAAATGATGACAACCTTATCCAAACTGTTTCAAAGACTAGAAAAACAGTACACATTTTCCAACTCATTTTGTGAGGACGTATAACCATCATACCAAAACCTGACAAGGAAATTATAAGAAAGAATATTAGAGCCTGATGTCTCTCAGAAACATAAAGGCAAATATCCTGAACAAAATGATTAGCTGACCAAGCCTTATGATGTACAAGAAGAATTACATATGTCATGATCAAGTGAACTTTACTCCAGGAATGCAAGGATGATGCAGAATTTGAAAATTAATCTTTCTAATTCACCACATTAACAGGAAAAAACAGGAGAAAAATCGTATGATCATCTATCTGAATAGATACGGAGAAAGTAAGAATTAATTGCCAAGAATTAATATACATTTGTTGTTTTTTTTTAAAAGCAAACCGGGAATAGAAGGAAACAGCCTTAATCGATAAAACAATATTTAAAGAATCTGCAACTAGCATCATATGTAATGATGAAATATTAAATGCTTTTTCTATGAGATTGGGAATAAGACAAGAAAGTCTGCTATGACTTCTTCTATTTTAACATTTTATGGGAGATCTTAGCTAGTGGAATAGGTAAAACAGTAAATCAAAGTTATAAGGAAGAAATATAATTGTCATCATTCACATATAATGAGATTGTATATGTAGACAGTCAATAAGAATTTATTAATCCACTCAGTGAATTTTATATCTATATTCTAGTAATGAATAACTAGAAAGTAATTTTTTTAAGGTAAGATTTATGGTAGTAGTAAGGGCCATCAAATATCTGGAAATCAGTCTGAAAGAAAACATGTAAGACCTGCTTTCCATGAAGAAGATCTTAAAACATTAAGAGAAAATTTAAAAGACCTAAATTAAGTGAGGGATATACTTTGTATCTCTATTGTAGACCATATGTAGCAACTGGCAGGTTCAGTGTGATAAAGGAACTTTCAACAAATTTCATGCAATCTCAAATAAAATCCCAGCAGATTCTTTTGTGTAAACTGACAAGCTAATTGTCAAATTTATATGGACATGCAAAGGGCCAAGAGCATCTTGAGGAAAAACTCTAACTGATAACAAGAATTATTATAAAGCCCTGTAAGACAGTATGATGTTGGTACAATGATAGAGGGTAAGACCAGATCAATCAGTGGGGGGAAAGGCTATCTCTGAGTAAATCAAGTGGATATATGCATATGGGGAAAAGTGAAACTTGTGCCCTACCTCACACCCTACACAAATCATCTCCTCTTGGATTATGGATCTAAATATGAAGTCAACTTTTAGGTAACTTACAAGAATGATTTCATGACCATGGAGAGCAGAAAGAGTTTTCTTTTATTCTCCCAGCATTATTGAGATATAACTGACATATAACATTGTGTAAGTTTAGGGTATACAACATGATTTGTTATGTGTATATATTGTGAAATGATTATCACAATCAGGTTAGTAAACACATCCATCCCCTCACGTAATTACGATTGGGAGCGATTTCTTAAACAAAAATCAAAATGCATAAGCCATGAAGGAAGGGATCAATAAACTGGATTACATTAAAATTAAGAGTTCTTACTCATTCAAAGACACAATAAGAGAGTGAAGAGGCAGGCCACATTGGGAGAAGATATTTGCAGCACACATAACCAACAAGGGGCTTGTATTTAGAAAGAAAAAAAATATATATATATAGTAGAATATGAGTTATATATGAGTCCACATGGGCTCGAAAAGACAGTGTCCCTAGACAAATTGCTCAAGACAGCCCCAACCCAGACACAACCTAAATATCAATCAATGGTTAATTAGATAAGCAAGGCATGCTATAGTCACACAATGGAAAATTATAGCAATGAACATGAATGAACTTCCACTACACACAACATGAGTGAATCTTATAATGTTTAGCAGACAAAGCCAGAGATTCAAGAGTACGTACTGTATGATTCCATTTGTATAAGGTTCAGAATTGGCCAAAACTGTTTTAGAAAGTTTGGAGGTCAGGACAGAGGTGAACTAGGGAGGAGGCACGAGTAAGGACTGCAAGAGCCAAAGAGTCTAGAAACTGCCAATGACATTATTTCTTCATATAGGTAGAGGTTAAAGATTTGTGTTCATTTCTTACACTAAAGGTTTGTGGGCTTCGGGGTGTGCATGGCATAGTTTCATAACAAGTTTACAGACTGAAAAATCCAAAGGAATAGCTTATGAAATGAAGGTGAAACTCTCCCTTCTTCAATCTCACCTCCCAAAAGTGACCCCCAATTAAAAACATGGTATTTTTTTCTCAATGCATATAGGAGCATGTATTTGTATGTGTGTGTATATATACATACACACATTTTATCCAGATGGCAGACCGGCTACTGTACTGCACTTTGCCTTTTACAAGCATGCCTCTCTTTCAGGGATCGGTCCAATCAGAGAAACAGGTCACCCACCCTTTTTACTTGCTCTCAGTCCATTGCCTACACTGTGTTCCCGTAGTCATTCCTCTATCGATGGACCCTCAGGATGTTTCCTGTATGTGCAGCTCCAAGTAATGTTGCCATGGATATCTTTGGACACAGTCATTTCCTACATGTGCATCTAGAAGAGGAATACATTCCCTCACGCGGAGTTGATGGGTCAGAGTCTGTCACTTTAAATTTTGGTAGGTACTACTTTTAAAAAATGTGTTCCTTGTTAAAAGGAAAATAAGCTCGGAAATAAGAAAATGTGGGAGCTGTGGCAGGGCTGGTGGGAGGAAGGACTGAGGGGCTCTACCTTCTTCCCCGGAGACTCTCGGATGTTATAAACCGTAACACGATGTCCGTGGTCCGGGTAGGACTGGGCTAGGAGGGGCTGGGCCAAGGCCAGCACGGCTCTGACCCCTCCGGGCAGTCCCCAGCAGACCCCAGCACTGGGCCTGGGTGGAGGCGGCTCTCCGGGGACGGTGTCGGAGGGATGGGGCTGAACTTGAGGAGGAGGGGGCAGGCGGAGGAAGTGGAAAGGGAAAGACGGGCCATCCCCGCTCTTCTCTGCAGATGACTCGAATTCCCCAAATGGCCACCAGGTAAGAGGCAATTTCTTACTCTTCCAGTCGGATCCTCCTCCAGCCAACCTCCGGACTTTTTCCCTTTCTTCGGCTGTCCCACTGCGTCCAGCCCTTCCCTTTCCCTCCGGCGTTTCCTAGGTTAGGGCGTGAGCCAAGGGGTAGGGGTGGGGATCCCCTGGTCCCTCTGTTCCCCGTAGGCAGCGACCACCTTCCAACCGGCGCTTTTTCTTCCAGGCGCAAAGGCATCAGCATCAACATCTCTTCAATGGCCGACAGGAGACCGTATCCACGGTTAGCAACGTACTCAGCATCTAAGGTACCCAGACCCCGCGGACCCGCCGGGCTGTCCGGCCACGCTGAACGCCCTGCTGTAGCCCTTGGCTCTGGCATCCAAGGTTATGGTGAAAAGGCCTGGATGCTTGTGTGGGACGTGCCGCCGGAGTCTGGGGCCATGAGTAGGTCCCAGACATCGGGTACGCAGTCCAGTGGACACAGCAGATTTTTCTAAGAGAAGCGCGACTAGGGATTAAGAGAGCACGTGAGGCGGGAAGGAGATCGGGGAAGTCGGAGCGCAGCCCGGCTGGAATGGAGAGTGGGCGCAAGGGAACCGAGGGAGGGTTTCGAACACGGAGGTAGTCAGGGGTTACGGTGCGGACCCGTGCGTCTGGGGGCCTCCCGGGGCCGCGGGTGCAGGTCAGGGGCGAGGGCGGCTGGAGGAGTCTGCACGGGGAGCCTCTGGGCCCTGGGACCCGCCCCCTTCGTCCCCACAGGCCCTCGGGCGAGGCTTCTCGGTGGCGGTGGGCGCAGAGCACTCCGGGCAGGGGCCCCTCACGCAGGTGCCCGCCTCCGCGGGGGCGGGTCTCACCAGGGACGCGGCTGGAGTGGCAGCTCGCGAGGGGTGGGGCTCTGGCGGCTGCGTGGGCGTGTCCGCGGGGGCCCGGGACCCGGGGGCGTGGCCACGAGAGACGCGGCCTCGGGGCGGTGCGCTGAGATCCCAGCCCCGGAGCCAGCCCCGGGCCGGTGGGGCGCTGGGACCCGTGGGGGGCCCGGGAACGTGGGCTGGGTGCGAGGGCACTTCTTCACACAGTGAGCCCTTTTAAGGCCCACACAAATATGACCAGTCACTTGAAACTCAGTCCGTTTCTGATGAATTCCGAAGACTTTGCTCGACAGGCTTTGGACACACTAGGCCTCACCTCCCAAACCCCCGGGTGCCTCAGCCACGATGTGCAGGTGCCTCCACGGGGCCATCACGGGCAGAGGGCTGGGCGGGACATTCCCCGGCCCAGGAGCCCTAGTCGCCAGAATGGAGGAAGCGTCCAGAGGAGGGGAGGGCGCCCCCCCTGGGCTGGAGAGACAGGAGGAGATGGGACCCCAAGGGTGGGGCGTGTCCTGATCCCCAGTGCCTCTCCTTCCCAGGGTTTCCTGCTGCTTGGCCCGCTCTCCTGGATTTTTCTCTGGGTAGGGAAAATTGGTCTGTGAGGAGTCAAGTTTTTCTCTCTGTTGGTGAACTAGTATATCCCAAAATTCTGTGATAAAAGGTGTTGAAGGGGCGTGGTCACTGTGTGCTCCCCCCCAAGCCCTCTACCCCGTCCACCCCGGGCTGGGACTGCTGACGTTAGCAAACGTGTCCCACACGTGGGAACAACCGGACAAGCAGGCCAACGGAACAGAACTGGACTCTGGAACACCTGGATGTTTAGTGACAACTGAGCCATCTCAAACCTCTGACAGGAAGATGGAGTTTTCATATAAGATTGTAGCAGTGACAGTGGCGAAACTTCGTGACTACAATAAAAATCACTTGAGTTGCACACATTTAAGGGGTAAACTTTGTGGTATGTGAATTTCATCTCAATAAAAATAATGAAAAAATTGTAAATTGTAAGTGGCCCTGTGAACTCATGTAATACTTCCATCTGAAGTCTACTCTGATATTAATATGGTCACACCAGCTTTTTTTCTTTTGGTTGGTATTTGCATTGTACAAATGCTCTTCATCCAAATTAAATAATACTTTAAATAATTTAATAACTTTAATAACAATAAATTCTGTTAATCTAAATCCATTGGCGATTTTATATTAAAGTGTGTTTTAATATAGAGTATATAGTAAGATCTTGTTTTTCATCCAGCCTGACATTTTCCTTTAACTGGAGTGTTTATTTTCATTAACATTTAATACATTTGGTGATATAGCTGTGTTTCACATTACTATGTTAGTTATTTATTGCTGTGTAACAAGTCTCCCCAGTATTTACTGGCTTAAAGGAACAGCAGTCATTTATTGTTTCTCAGTTTCTGTGGGATATGAATTCATGAGTGGTTCATCTGTATGATAGTTCAAAATTCTTTACATCTTTGCCAACACTTATTATCTTTTTTATTATAGCCAACCTAGTTCATTGAAGTGGCATTGCATTGTGATTTTGATTTGCATTTTCCTAATGACTAATGATCTTGAGCATCCTTTCATGGATTTATTCATGGATCTTTGAGAAATGTTTACTCAGATCCTTTGTCCATTGAAAACTAGGTTGTCTTTTTATTATTGAATTGCAAGAGCTCTTTATATATTCTAGATGCAAGTCTATGATTTGCAAATATTTTCTTTCAGTGAATTGTCTTTTCACTTTATGCTATGAAGCATCCTTGAAACATGAAACTTTAATTTTAATGAAATCCAACTTTTGTTCACCTTCGTTTTTAAAGTCTGTTGCCATTGGTATAGAATTCTAGGTTAATTCTATTTTCTCTTTCAGTGCTTTAGCCATGTCATACCATTGTCTTTTCATATCTATTATGGGTTGAATTGTTTTACCCCCTCCAAAAAAAGTTACATGTAAGCCCTCATCCCCAGCACCTAGGAATGTGACCTTATTTGGAAATAGTGTGTTGTTGCCGATGTAATTAGTTAAGATGAAGTCATACTGGAATATGGTGGACCTCTAATACTGTGACTGGTGTTCTTATAAGATGGCCATGTGAAGACAGAGACACAGGGAGAAAAGACCATGTAAAGATGAAGGCAGAGATTGCCAAAGAATGCCAAGCACGGTCAGAAGGTTGAAAGCGACAAGGAAAGATTCTCCTACAGGTTTGAGAGAAAGGAAGGCCCTGCTGACACCTTGACTTTGGACTTTTAGCCTTCAGAACTATGAGACAATAAATTCTTAGTTTAAACCACCTAGTTCGTGGTACTTTGTTATGGCAGCCCTAGGAAACTAATACAGTTACACAGTTTCTGTTGAAAAGTCAGACACTCGGGGCTCTCTTGTCCCCTCCTGGCGTGAGCCAGGAGCTCTGTCCTCTCACTTTATTTCTAAATAAAAGCCTGTACCTTGCTCTCCTACCTTGAGTATTTGTGAAGCTCCTTCTTCAGCTTCATGAACAAGAACCCTGGCATCATCTTTGGGGGCTTGTCCAGGATAACTAACTGCGGAGGTGGGAGCATCCTCTTTAAGTCTAAAGCCATACACGCCTCTGGCTTGCATTCTAAAGCACTGGGAGCAGTTTTGATCCCCAGACCGTGAAAAAGAAGTGTCTTATCGTCTGCACACAAGCCTGGCCTCAATAGAAACTCTAACGGAGAGGCTTGGTGCCTGAGAGAAGATTACAATATAGTAAGAAGCCATAAAACAATAGAAATGGAACCCAAGATAGATGCGCCCATCTCCTGAGGCCTCTGGACCCAGCACTGATGAAGACCTAACTGCACCCCTCACTGTGTCCCCTCTCAGTATGAAGCAGCCAGAGCGGTCATCACCCCCTTTCCCTAGCAGCAGCTAGGGTTTCCATCTGTAGAGGGGGGAATGAGACAGGGACCGTGAGTGTAGTCAGAGTAGGGTGAGGGCCTCCGGGAAAAGCAGGGCGGAATGCTTAGAGTCAAAGCAATGTAACAATGGGCAAAGAAGTCCCCAATGAAACTCTGTGTTAAGCATTATGCAAAGTCAAGGTCACACTAATTCTCTAGGGAAAGATACCAGACTAAGAATATAGACATCTTCAGTGACATCAGTTAAAGGTCAAAAGGCCAGAAGCAACTTGATCTGGAATGTTTGAGAGTTCTGCAAGGGTATCTCAGCATAACCCCTGACTTCACTGTAAAGAGCCCTAGCAGACAGACAATAACCCAGCCCACCTTGAGGACAGGGCAGGTGGTACAAGTCCACACCCCTAAGCCTTTTTTATTTTGATGTTCTCGAAAAATTCTCAATTGCCTATAAAACCCCTAGACAACGCACCATCGTGGGCTCTCTTGTCCCCTCCTGGCATGAGCCAGGAGCTCTATTCTCTCACTTTATTTCTAAATAAAAGCCTGTACCTTGCTCTCCTAAAAAAAAAAGTCAGACACTCTTCTTGTTTTCCTTTTGAAAGTGAAGTGTGGATGTTTTCTCTGGATGATTTTTTTTTTTGCAGAAATTAACTTTTTTTTATTATATATCATACAATGTAGTAGTACATGAATAAAAAGTGAAATTACAGGAGGAACAATCTATACAGCAATAATAGGTGCATTCTCTGTGCATCTGAAAGAAAAAAAAAGTTTTCACTCATTTTGGCCTAAAAACTTAAATGTTCAGGTTCCCAGGATTCTGACATCAGAACCCAGATGACGCTGATTAGGACCATAGGGCCTTTACAATAAAAACTAAAATATTGATCATATGATGGCAAAAAGTCTTATTTTGTGGTTAACTGATTCTCTTCTGGCTACTCTCTGATGAAGTTGGTGGCACTGTAGAGGAAGACCGCTGTCTCCTGGATGAGGACTGGGACCGCTCAGCATTGCAGGTGACCTGCTTGTTGTAGTTCTCCATCTGAGCTTCAATCAGCTCTCTCTGCTGCTGCCGGATGGTCTGGCGGATGAGCCCAGGGAGGGTGTGGATGCTCCCAATCAAAGTCTCTAATTTTGTTTCCACAGTAACAATCCTCTTCTCAAAGTCTTCACTCCTTTCATTTAAGTCAGAAATCATGTCCTACATGATGTTCTGGGTCTTTGCCAGGTCCACCAAGGTGTTTGCTTGGTCATTCAGTTTCCTCTGCTCCATTTTTACACTTCCTAATGGATGAAGAGCCTGCAAGAATTTTCGCAGACGTTTTCTAACTTTTGCATGATCTGTCTTTTTGACCAGCTTTGTCTTTTTGTAAATTAGCCATGTTTCCCTGAGTACATTGGCAGCTGCGTTTTTCACCTGTGTCTGCCTAGCTCAGTGCTTTGGGCATAGGTGGTAATTCTCTGGGTGATTTTCACGATTTCCGTTTTCTTTGGTTGCAGTAGCTCTACCATGAAATGCTCAGGTGGTTTTCTTTTCCACTTTTTTTTATACTGCTTGCAGTTCACTGAGATTCTTCCATCTATGAGTTAATGTTTTTCATTCATTTGAGAAATTTCTAAAAAATTGCCTCTTTAAAAATTGCTTCTGGACCCATGTTCTCGTCTCTCCTGATGCTACTCCAATTATACACATGCTAGATGGTTTAACAGCGTCCACAGACCTTACATGCCTCCTTTATGTGTTTTTACCTGGCATTCTTTTGCTTTGGAATGGTGGAATGACATGTTTAACGCATGAAAAGAAAAAATAAAAGTATTAAACTAGAATTCTATACCAGTGGTAACAGACTTTAAAAATGAAGGTAAACAAAAGGGAAAATAGATAAGTTGATCTGCAAGAAAATGAAAAAGTTTTGTGCTTCAAAGGATAGCATAGAGAAAGTGAAAGGGCAATGCACAAAATGAAAGAAAACATTTTGGTCCTAAATATAATTAGGTCATTGATCCTAATTTTTGTATATGGTACAAGGTAAGGATCCAACTTCATTCTTTTGCATGTGGATATCCAGTATCCCAGCACCATTTGCTGGATAGATTGTTCTATCCCTACTGAGCGGTCCTGGAATCTTTATTGGAAAAAAATAATCATATATGTGAGGGTTTAGTTCTGAACTCTTAATCCTCTTCCATTTGTCTATATGTCTCATGCCAATACCACATTATTTTGGTTACTGTACCTTTATGGTTAATTTGGAAATCAGGAAGTGTGAGTCCTTCCACTTTATTCTCCCTTTTCAAGATTGCTGGCTATTCAGGGTTCCTTGAAATTCTATGAGTTTTAGGTTGGAATTTTCTACTTCCACAAAAACAACACTGGGGAATTTATAGGGATTGCACTGAACCTGTAGATTTCTTCTTCTTCTTCTTCTTCTTCTTATTATTATTATTAAGGTATTATTGATATACACTCTTATGAAGGTTTCACATGAAAAACAATGTGGTACAACATTCACCCATATTATCAAGTCTCCCCCCCAATCTGTAGATTTCTTTGGCTAGAATTGTCATGTTAACAATATTAAGTCTTCCAAACCATTAATATAGATGTCTTTCCATTTATCTGGGTCTTGTTTAATTTTTCTCTGCAGTTTTGTTTTGTTTTAGTTTTCAGTGTCTTTCACCTTCTTGCTTAAATTTATTTTTAATTATTTTATTCTTTTTTTGATACTATTGTAAATGGGGTTTTCTTAATTTCTTTTCAGATTGTTCATTACTAGTGTATAGAAATGCAACTGATTTTTGTGTGTTGATTTTATATCCTACAATACTACTCCACCAGGGCTTTTTTGTGTGGATTCTTTATGAGTTTCTACATATCAGATCATGTCATTGCAAACAGAGGCGCTTTCATTTCTTCCTTTCCAGTGATTTATTTTTCTTAACCAATTGCTCTAATTAGAACTTCCAGCACTATGTTATGTTGAATAGAAATGATGAAAGCAAACATCCTTTTTTCTTAGGGGAAAAGCTTACAGTCTTTCCCCATTATGTATGGTGCTACCTATGGTTTTTACATAATAGCCTTTATCATGTTGAAGGATTTCCCTTCTATTCCTAGTTTGTTGAGTGTTTTTGCCATAAAAGATGTAAAATTTTGTCTAATTCCTTTTCATATCCCCCAGGGATATGAAGGCAAAAATAGTAAAATATTTGCAAAACAAAGCAATAATACATAGTAATAATACATCATGATCAAGTGGGTTTAACTTTAAACATTTAAAATTGTT